CAGGACGGCCCAAAGCCAGCCGCTGCTCCGGATCCCATGAGCGCTCGCCCTGGGGGTCTTTAGCCTGTCCGTGCTCCTCTCAGATTGTGGGGCCCTCCAGGGCCAGGGAAGACCCCACTAGCTCCCCCTTGTCACAGCACCCGGCCCGGGCCCAGGGGTCACCTTCCTCCCTATGACCTCTGGGCAGCCCTCCTCGCAAGTCCACGGGAGGCCAGGGACCGACAGGCTTTTCCCCTCTCTCCTCTCCTAGTTTGTAGGTCCTTGTGTGTGGGTGACCGCCTGGGGTCTGCAGAGACGGCTAGAAGCGAAGGCCACCAACTAGGGCAACAGCTCCACCAAAGGGAGCCCATGGTGGGCGGGGGGCCAGGCCCCCCTTGGCACTGGGCCTGGAGGTGGCTGCTCCCAGGCCCACCTTGGCTCCACTGTTCTGGCTCCCAGAGGGAACAGCTTTCTTAAACTCAGAGCTTTGCCCCTGCCCTCAGCAGCATATCTGGCATTGGACCTGCACTCTTGTAGGCTGGGAATCACCTGTAGTCCTCAAAATGCTGGATGACTTAGATCCTCTCACTAGCCCATTTCACAGACAGGGAAACTACGGACCAGAAGGTCATATAACTCTCTAAGCGCTGCCCAGCACAGAAAGGGCAGAAGTGGGATGTGAACTCTGAGCTCCCTCACCCTCTATGCCGTCTCAACCACATGGTGCCCTGGACCCTGGTGGCAATGACCTCAGAGAGCTCACGTGCCCCCAAGAATCTGTGTTCTGGGACGCTACCAAGGCTGAGGGGCCAGCTGCTCCCATGGGGGCCCATCTCCTTTAACTGCCCAACAGTTTCCTCCACTGCCCAGCGAGGCAGGAGGCTGGCTCAACTCTGACCACTGGCCCTCCCCATGGGGCTGGCAGTGCCTCTGCTGGAGCCCCGCATAGCCTGTCACCCCAGCTTCACAAGCAAGGGCACTGAGGTTCAGAAGTGTGGGGCACCAGAACCTGGGACAGACTGGCTCTTCAGGCGGGGCCCCGCCCACTCTGGCTGTCCTCACCAGCCACTGAAGCCGTGGCTAAGGGCAGCCCATGGGTCCCCAGTGGCCTGTCTTCTGGCTCCAGCCAGGGGCGCTGCTTGGAGAACCTGCAGGTCAGGCGGGAGAGTGCCTGCTAGGTCACCAGCGCATACGCGGGGGTGGACACCCAAGGCCCTCAGACCATGGTAGGTGCCACCCTGGAGGACTGGTGTCCCCTGACGAGAGGACTGTGCTTGCCTAAGCCCCACCCTTCCACTGGATGAGCCCCGCGATCCGGCGCTGGGGTGACCCGGAGTGCCTTTCGACAGAGGACAGCGGCCAGTGCAAGCCGCATGGGGCCCGTGTGTGTGCGCGCGCGTGTGTGTGTGCATGCGTGTGCAAGCCTTCACACCAGAGCCCTGGGTCACGACTACAGGGCTGGCAGGGAGTGAGAGCATTTGACTCTGCAGTCGTGGCTTTCTTGCCCGAGGCCTGGCCTACCAGGGCCCCAGCCTTTCCCTGCCCTGCTGGCATCACCAGGTCGACGCACTCAGCAGCACAGGATCCACTGGGGCTGCGTTCTGGCCAGAGGGGCAGGTCCTCCCGGCTCCTGGACTGGACTTTAAAACAATACCGCCGGGTTCAGCACTGCGGGGCTCCCTGCCTGCACCCTGGGCTCCAGCCCCTGCCCCAGGCCCCTCTGCGAGGCAGCTAGGTGGGGAGTTCTGCAGCTGCTCGCTGCATCTCTGAGCCTCGCCTTTGCCTCTGGGCTGCGTGAGGGTGAGGGCCATGCTCCCTGCCGGGCTCTGTGCGGGGCCCCAGACCAGTCGCCACTCCCACGACGGGGCCAGACAGGGGTCAGGATGAGGCAGGTGGAGGGGACTTGGCTCCCCGCCCCCTCACCCTTCACCCTCCAAGGGCCAGGGTTGATCCAGGGCATCCCAGCCTCTGCGAACTGAGTTTTCTACACGTATCTCATGCAAGACTTTTACTAAGAGGCATGGCTCTGCCTGACAGAGCTGGCCCTCTTGTCTGCAGAGGTGGGAGGCCCCATCCTCGGTACCCCAAGGCTGGTGAGAGGGGTCCTCCCCCTAGCTGGAGGACACACTCAGCACCAGGCACCCTCCCCAGGTTGCGGGGGAGGGCATCCCACCCCAAAGGAACCTGGAACTGGGCCCTCTGCTCCAGAGAGCCTGCATTCTGGGGTCGTTCGTCCCTGGAGCCCCCACAGAGGGAGGTCGGGTGAGTACCGGATACCCTGCTTTTTGATTGTTATGTAACTGCCGAACATTAAGCTTTTAATGGCCGAGGCGTCCACTTCAAAGACTCCCAACTCCATCCAGCAAACACCTTGTCAGCGGCACAGCTCAGTAAAGAGCCTGCTGCCGCACCCGTCATGGTCCCCTTCCAGAAAGCCCCGGGTGCCCTAAACAGTGGGCCGCGGGGTGACCCCACTTCTCCTTTCCATGGCTTAATTCCACACTCATGTTTTATCACGAACAAAGTGCGAACCACCAACCCTCCGTACCCCTGCGCTGGCCCTGACAAAGGCAGAGCCCCAGGTGTCCCCTGCCCACTCTCTCCTGAGACCTCCCTGTGTGGCCGGGGGCATGCCTGCCCTGTGCCCTCCAGGACCTGCGGGTGACAACCTTCTTATCAAAGCGGCTAACGCAGAGTCCCGCCGTCAGAACAAGAACCGTGAGGGCCGGGCCAACCACAGCCTCGGCTGACGGGGAAGTGCCTGTGGGGGCTGCCCGCCCCCCCAAGGTAGCAGGACCCAGGTGGGGACCCGAGGCACTCCTAGCGAAGAGCTTCCCTGCTAATTTTTTTAAACAGGTGCCAGGATGTGTACTGTGGCGCTGTCACTGTGAGACAGCGGGAACAAAAGTGACCCAAAGCCCGGTGAATAAAAGAGCAGGACGACTTTGCATTTGGCCGTTCAAAGTGACCCGACACGGCGCCAGCACAGCTACGCTTGATACGCTTGGGAAAATAGGAGCCAGACTGGAAACTCCCCCCAGAGCCCCGGAGTCTGTACCAAAAAAGGTGTGAAGAAGACATGCTAGATATTTTAGAACAACATGTAAAGTTAAGAGCTCAATGGATGGGTGCAACAGTGAATTAGGTAGACCAGAAGACAGCCTTAGCAGACAGGAAGCTAGGCCAGCTGAAATTACACTGGACCAAGCTAGAGAGGAAAACCATGATGCAACGTGTACGAAAGAGCGTAAGAGGTAACGTGACGTCGGGTGAGAAATTGTAGTCACATGCGTATCATTGAAGTGGGAGCCTCTCTGCTGTCAGGCTGAGACCCGGGTCCTGGAGGTCCCTGAGGTCCAGGAGGGGGACCCGGCAGGCGAGGGGTCAGGCCCCTGGGCCCCTGGGGAGAAGCTGGCAACCATGGATGGTCGGAAGGGAGAGGGCGGCACAACCCAGCCCCAGCCCAGATGCACCCTTTCCCAGCCTCAATTTCCTCACCTGTGAAATGGGAATCTAACAGGTGAGCTGTTTCCACTCTGACAGTCTCCTGAGCAGGAGGCCCAGGTCGGGCAGTCAGATTCCTGGGATCCAGTCTGAGGGGTTCCTCAGAGGCATGGATGTGATGGGGGCTCGCTGCCCGCCAGACCCCACCCACCCCGGCTGCCGACTGCACGAGCAGGTGTCTTCTCCTGGTCCCATGAGGGCTAGCGGGTCCTGGGTGGGCGCAGCATCTGAAATGGACGCTGGCAGAGGACGCGGGGACCCTCCCTCCTCCTCCCCCACGCCCTTCACCCTGGCTCGTTCACGCGACCACAGCCCCACAGCCCCCACGCCTCGCCAGGTGTCTCAGACGGGTCGGGGGCAGGGGCTCCAACTCCTGGAAGGGGGGCTTTGGGGAGAGGGTGCTCCAGCCTGGGGGCAGCCCCCCAGCCTCCAGAGTTCCCGGCTTTGCTTCCCTCCTGCGCCCCTGCATCAGCCTGCAGCCGGCGCCCTGAGACAGTCATGCTGGGCGGTGGGGAGGCCAGCGGCCAGCACAGCCACCATCTGGGAGCCACGAGCCACCAAAGCCAGGTGCCCCAGCAGGACCCGCTGCTTCCCTCACACACGTAGCAAAGGTCCCTCAACAAGCCCCCACCTGAGGGAGCCCTGGGCAGCAAGCCTTGTGGGCAGGACAAAGCAGCCCGGGGGTCCTGCAGAGGCCGTCCCAAGGAGGTGACCACAGCGGGGGCTGGGGCCAGCAGGTGTCGATGGGCCTCCCTGGGGCCAGGGTCCTTACGCACCTTCCACGTGTCTCACCCTCCACCCACCTCCTGGGGCACCAGGGCCAGGAAACAGGTGGCCAGCTAGAGAGGCAGGAACACACCCCCACCCAGGTGGGCACCACGGCCCTGCCTCCTGGATTGCTCAGCGTGGCAGGACCTGAGACGCTGCAGGACCGGCGGGAGGCAGGGCCTCAGTTGCCCCCATATCCTCCATCCAGTTTCCCTTCTCTTGAAACAGCAGCTCAGTCTCCCTTCGGGGCCTCTTCCACATAAGTCAGTACCACGCCACTCACACCACCCCACTTCATCCTGACCCCGTGTCAGGAGACCCAGGCCACCAGAGGCACAGCAATGGCTCAGCAATGGGCATATGACACACGCAGACCAGTGAGAGGCAGGCATGCTGGACTATGGGCAAAGAGGGGTCCCCAAAGGGAGGGCGATGCTGGTGCAGCCTGGTACCCTGCACCGCGAGAGGAGATGCTGCCGAAGAACAAAGCCACCACGGGGAAAGCCGGGCAAGAGACAGAGAGAGGCAGCTGTTTGAACACCTGGATCCAGCCATGCCTGAAAGCCTTTCTACACCTGGACTGACAAGCTGATACATTTTCCACTTTGCAATCTGAAATGTGCTGACAAATCCACAGAGGAAGCTGTACACCTGAGAGCCTATTTCCTGGTTCTGCAGGCTCCCAAGACAGGACAGTCCATGTTGACTGCCCCAACCCCAAGTCCTCCACAGAGGGCAGCCCCACTCACCATGACAGACGAGGTCATGCCCTGCAGGTGGAAGACGTCCATGCTGGCCTCTGCACTGCCCGCCACCTCTGCATTCCCTCGGCCAGACTGGGGAAGGTCAAAGTAGGTGCTGTCCGGCTCCCTGGACAGAGAGGGAAACAGAGGGGGAGCAAAGCTGTCCACCCAGCCCGGCCAGCCTGCAGGTCCTCCCATGGGGCCTCCCTCTCACGCCTGCAAGGGTTCCTTCAGCCTCTTGTGTCCTTTGCTGCCTCCCTGACCCTCAGCTCCTGCAGCCCCCACCTCCTCCCTCCTTCTCCAGCCTCTCCAGGGCCGGTGAGGGGGGCCAGGAGGTGTGGCCACACACAGGCCCTGACCCCTCTCAGGACTGGTCAGGGGACAGAGCCCAGACTTTGGGCCCTGCATCCCCAGGAGAAGCTGCGTCCCGAGGCAGCAGCGCCCCGGCCCCCCCTCGGGCCCAGCCCTGCCCCGGCCCGGCCTGGGGGTGGCGGGAGCACTCACAGGGAGCTCCAGAGGTGCTGGAACGTGGCGCCCTCGTCGGCAGCGGCGGACTGGGTGGACTGGGACATCTTCTCACACAGCTCGCTCTGCCAGGAGGAAAGCACAGTGAGGGTTCGTACGGCGTCCTCGGGGCTCCTGGGACAGCGTTCTGGGGATGCAGGCGGCGGGCGGGGCCGACGAGGACACCCTGGGGCGCGCCCTCATACACCTTCCTTCCCCCCTGCCCCGTCCCGGGTGGGAACCCGAGGCCTGGGGGTGGCGTCAGACCCAGCTGGGGGCCTGGGCGGCAGGGGCTTCTCAGAACCACCCCCGTGAAGTGGGGGTGACAACAGCGCCCCCACATGGGGCTGCTTCAGGGCTCGCTGGGAGCACGGATTTAAAGTCTCTGCTGTGCCTGGATTATAACACTCGGACACGGGGGGTCGTTATTGTCATGATCTGGGTCTCTAGGTTTGGCCGGGGGAGGGCATGAGCCAGGTTTGGGGGCTCCCAATGCCCCCGCATCCCAGGATGCCCCCCTCCCCCGTTCTGCGGGAAGAATGTGTGTCAGGACCCGTGTGAGCCTGGCCGGGCCCGACTGCTGCGGCTTTGGGTGTCCTTCGGGATCATCGCCTGCAGCCTGAATGCAAAAGCAATGCCAAGCCCACGGGGCAGCCACCAACCCACGGGGCAGCCACCAAGCCAAGGCCGAGAACCTGCTCTGTCCCAGGAGCAGGGGTCACTCGTGTTCAGGAAGTGTCCCGATCTGCTGGCCTTTGTCCCCACTGCTGTCCCTTCTGAGAACCTCCAAGCCCAGGTCCCACCCGACGCAGCCCCCGCCACCCAGGAGGAGGTGATCGTGACCATATTGGGCACAGCTGGGACCCTTGGTCCTACAGTGGGGGGAGGGGCAGGGAACCAGAGCCCACCCTGCCCACTGCCCCCACCCAGGCCGAGGCGTCACCTCCCCCTGGGCCGGCCTCCAGGTCCTTGGCAAGGGGCCTGCGGGAATCAGCTCGGCCACCGCCTGGCAGTGCCCAAGCGGGCAGGCCCGGACCTGCCCATGGCCGTCGGGGGAGGGAGGGTGTGGCTGCAATCTGTCGCTTTGTCTGTCCCCAGGCGGTGGGCACTGATAGAGGCCTGTGGCGTGCTCCCAGGGCTGCCACGTGCCAGGCCACCATCTCTGGAGCATGGCAGGGGCTGGGAGGGCTGGGCGGGGGAGGCTAAGGTGGGGCCAAGTGAGGATGGCCAAGACAAGTAGCTTAGGAAGTGCTGGCCACAGACCGACTCTCCTGCAGGCTCGGAGACTTTCCCACCTACTTTCAAGAGACCAGAGCTCAGAGAGGTTATGCGACCTGCTGAGGTCACATAGCGCAGCTGTAAATGCAGGGACGACCAAGTGGTTTTCTCAGAGTTGGGAATTAACTTTCCCATGCCTCCTCCCCTCTCCACCTCCAACCTTCAGCACACAACCCACAGGGTTTTAATAAGGGGCTAGCCAATGCTCACTTGTATGCCTCCTGTGCTGGGGAGGTCACTCCCATCCTGGGCTGAGCTGTCCAAAACCCAGTGGAGCTGAGGGTCAGGGGTGGAGCTGGCCACCTGGTAATGCAGAACAGGCTGGACTTGGTAGGAAGTGGAACATCCCACCCAAAGCTGGGCAGAAGCCCACCCTCACCCCTTCCCGAAGCTGGTCCTTGCTGGGTGAGCAGAGATTAGTCAGGCCAGCCTCTTGGGGTGGGCAGGGTGTGCCAACACGGGGTTCAACTGGCCTGGGCCAGTCCCACCTCTTTCACTTTGCCAGTGGACCACCTAAGCCCAGAGATGGACAACGACCTAACTAATGTCACACAGCAAGGGGACAGCAGGATCTTGTGAGGGCAGCACCGGTCACAAGAAAGGTGGAAGCAGCCCGAATGTACATTGACGGTCAGACACATAGACCAATCCCCGCAGGTCCACACAACGGAGTATTGCTCCGCCGTAAAAAGGCACCATCACTCACACAGGCGACACCACTGTGAGCCTCACAACATCCTGCTGCGCGGAAGAAGCCACAAGCCACACAAGTCCACTGACGAAACGCGCAGAGCAGGGGACGCCACAGAGACGGGGGGAGGTGGGTGTAGACTGGCGCCCGAGGCACTGGGGCGGGGATGGGGTGTGACAGCTGGAACTAGCCCAAGGTGATGGTTGCACACCGCCAAGTGTGCTAAATGCCCCTGAACCGTTCACTTGCAAGGGGTGAGTTTTCTGTTGTGTGAATTTCACCTCAATAAAACATTTTTAATTTAAGAGAAGGAGCCTGGCGTAGCTCACAGGGAGAATCAGAGCTGCACAGTGCATCCTGGGTGCGTTACCCTGCCAGCTGCAAGGCAGTGAAAGACAGTTTCTCTCCCAAAGCCCTGTCCAAGTTCTCAGCAGCATCTGGGGAGGCAAGTCAGCACCGAGAATCTCCCCATCAGGATGAGGAAGAGAGGCCCCTCCCCCGGCTCCCACACCCACGTCCCTGCACCTCCCTCCCATCAGAACAGCCGGGGGAGGGGAGGGGACAGGGAGCCCCAACTCCGGGGCACAACAAGCATCTCTCCCTTTCACCCCACGCTCCTCACCCAGCTCAACCCCCTACTAGAAGGCAGAGGTGGCCCAGGGTCTCCAAAGTCCATTGCACTCAGCAGATCCTGAAGCTCCTGCCCTCAGGTACATCCCCCAAACCCAGGACTCCGTGTCCACTCTTAGCCAGCACGCTGGGGGACTCACAGTGACTCTGGGACAGGCCCCCAGGAGGAGAGCATCACACAGGCCCACCTCGCCCCTGTGGAGACCCCTTTGGCTATCCACCTGAGCACGGCCACCAGCCTCCACAGGTGACTGCCACACGGGATCTCCATCGGAAAACACGTCCAGAAACCTTCCTTGCCTTACTCAGAGAACTGGGGGAATTGACCCAGGAGGCCACGTGGCGCCCAGATGCCCAGCCTGCCTGGAAGACTCCGAAGAACTGACTGCACTGGAGTGTGCGTGGGGGCGCCGCAGACCCGGCCCCTGCAGGTATCGGGGGCCAGCTGCCGCCAGGCAGGAGCGCGAGGAAGAGGCAACACTGACGCTCCCCGTCGGGAGCCCCAGGGCTCCGTGGGCCCAGCCCCGGCCAGGGGCGGACACCGTGTGCTCCCTTCACCTGACAGCAGCACTTCGGCCAAGGTGGCCCAGGTCCACCGAGGTGAGAAAACGGAAGCAACTCAACGACTTCCTGTTAATCAAATCCAGTTTCCCCACGACACGCCCTTCAAACGCGGGAACGTGCAAACGTTGCAAACCATTGAAAACACGTGCGTGGGGGAGAGAGACCCCTCCTCCGGTGGCCGTGATGACGTCATAAAGCACAAACGCCTGGCGGGCCGCTTTGCTTCCCCACAGAGCTGGGTCGCCGGAGAGTCCCGTCCACATGAGGGCGGGTCCCCAGGGAGGACGTGGGCGCGGGAAGACGGGGCTCGGCGTCGGTGGGGGCTGGACTCTTAAGGAATCACCGAGCACCTGGTCCCCACCCCAAGCCCCAGAACTGCCAGGTCAGAGGCAGCCCGAGGAGCGGGGCGTGCTCGGCACCTCCCACCTGCTGCAGCACCCCACGGGCTGGGGCCGCCGAAACGGCTTCGCCTCAGAGAATTTCCAGCAAATGTTTGTGACTCCGTTGGGGGGCGGCGTGGAGGGCTGTGTGGCTTGAGTGGAGACTCAGCCCCATGCCCCACTGACTACTCGGGGTGACTCAGGGCTTCTCTCGGGTCTCTGAGAGCCACCTGAGCGAGGCCATGCTACCCAGCATCCTGCAGTGCACATCAGCCCCCACGGGGAGAAGGTTCTAGAACACAGCCAGTGCCGCAGGGAGAAGGGGGCCAGCTGCTGCCAGGGGCCC